AGTATTCAAGGTATGGATGCTGTGAGGAAGTGGGGTAGTTCTATGAAACTAAAGTCCTCAGGTGTCACTCTTTAATCTTGAAGTTATATCTTAAACTTTTTTTTTATAGAGGCATGTTTTTATTTATTTATTTGGTTTTTTGTTTGTTTTGTTTATACATGCAGTGGGTACAGTCAGAAGCGCGGGAGGGTGAGAGAATTCACCAGAGCCAGAGCGGGGAGCAGAGCAGGCAGACGGAAGTACACTGCTGAGGGGAGCAGCGGGCTGCAGGAGAGGTCTGTGTGCCATGTGGGACCCTCCCTCTGGTGGCCTGGGAGCAGCCGGGGATCGAACTGGCGCCGCAGAGGCCGCGGGCAGCTTCGAAACCCAGCACTCAACTGCTACACCACTGGGGAGGCCCTATATCTTAAACTTTTTAATCTAAAAAGTGGGAAGAGGGCCTCCCCTGGTGGCGCAGGCGGTTGAGCGCAACGGTGTGAAGCTGTCCGCAGTCTCTGCAGTGTCTGTTCAATCCCTGCCGGCAGGCGCAGGCGAGGGTCCTGTCATGCCCGCCACTCCCCTCAGCAGTGTATTTCGTCAATCTGCCTGTTCTGTTCCCCACTATGTCTCTGGTGAATCCTCTTACCCTCCCGCGCATCTGGCCTGTACCCCGGTTCTTGTATAAATAAATAAATAGCTCTTTAAATAAAATAAAAATAAAATAAAATAAAATAAAATAAAATAAAATAAAATAAAAGATAGGAAGAAAGGAGCAAGATTGGGCCTCCCTGGTGGCCAAAGAGGTTAAGATGCAACTTATGAAGTTGTCTGCAGCCTCTGGGGACAGTTTGATCCCCAGCTGGCCCGGGAGAAACCCACATGGTGCAGTAGACCTCTCCTGTCTCGCCCACTGCTCCCCTTAGCAGTGTACTTCGGTCAATCTGCCTGTTCTGTTCCCCACTCTGTCTCTGGTGAATTCTCTCACCCCCCACCCCACACCTCTGGCCCATACCCAGCTCTTGTATGCATGAATAAATAAATCTTAAAAAAAAAAAAAGAAGAAGAAAGGAGCAAGGCCAAAGCTATAATAGATGAAACAGAAGTCCTTTAGCTTAGCCAACACGAGAATATTCGTCATTTATGTCATTTAGATAATGTTCCTGTTTTTGTCCATGTTCAGACATGACTCTGTCATCACAGAGTGGGCTCATTTTTTTTTTTTTTTATCCATCACAGTCATAGAGCAGTCTGTCTTGGTGATGTCCTGTAAAATTGTTTATGTTCATAAAGAGAAAACAACAGTCTAGCTGTGAATGTCATACCTGTCATACCAGCTTTTATCAACACCAAGGCCTAGATGATAGTGCCAGGCCAGCCCCAGGCTGCCAGGAGCTGCTTTCTCTTTCTCAGTCTCCCCTGTTGGCCAACGGCAGATGGAGTTGCACCTCAGGACTTTAGTTTATTATCTGGTGCTTCATCATTGCCAAGATTTCACGCATCAGGAAACTGTCAAGAGTACCTCTATAGCTAGACTAGGTTGGTCTCTCCTTTTGTTGCAGGGAGAGTTGTCAAATTTTCCAACAAGATGATTGCACAGTAGCATTTGAGACTGAACAGTCTATTAACCAACATACAGGAATTTACTAGAAACTGAATGGTTATTAATCCTTGTGATAAGCCCTGAAGACAGGGGCCAAGATTATCAAACCCAGGCAATGAAAACATGACCAAAAGTCTGTTTTGTCTTTTTTAAGAGAATTTTCTTTTAACATAGTCACAGATAGTCTTACTTAATGAGTAGTATTTATACTTACTTAACAAAGAGTATTTGCAAAGGCATAAACTTTCCCTTGGTTCAAGAATTTTTTTTAAGTTTTTATCTTCTTTATGGGGTGTAGGCCAGAGGTACAGGATTGGGGGGGGGTGGGAGAAAGGATTCGCCAGTAAGAGTGGGGAGCAGAGCAGGTGGATTTACTGAAATACAATGCTGAGGGGAGCAGTGGGTGAGACAGGAGAGGTCTGCTGCACTATATGAGGGTTAGCTCCCTGGCTGGGATGGAATTCGGACCCTAGGGGTCATAGTTCTGAGACTTAACCCCTAGGCTACCAGGGAGGCCTGGTTCATGGATATAAATTTAAATTGGTGGGCTTCCCTGGTGGCTCAAGGGGTTAGGAGTCTCTGAAGCATGAGTTTGATTCCCCGGCCCGCCAGGGAGAACCCACATGGCGCAGCAGAACTCTCCTGTCTCACCCGCTGCTCCCCTCGGCAGTGTACTTCCATCAATCTGCCTGTTCTGTTCCCTGCTCTGTCTCTGGTGAATCCTCTCACCACCACCCCCACCTCTGGCCTATATCCCAGCTCTTGTGTGCATAAATAAATAAATCTTTAAAAAAATAAAAAAATAAATTTAAATTGGTTGTTGGGCTTCTGAGCAGAGGTTGTGTCATTTATTATATCTCTGAGGTTAGAGACAGATTCCAGATCACCTCTCCAGCAGTTTTATCCCTACTGGTAGTTCACAGTATAGGCAGCATAAGGGAATAGTAGGTTACCGCTCCTGGGAGTTTTTCTGATTACCCCATTTTGGAGATTCCTGGATATTATTTTGAAAACATGTAACCATTGGAACAGTGGTAGCCTCTAACAATACCCTGAATACACAGGGTAAATACACAGGTGTGTAGCAGGCAGGTACAAACCTGAGCAGTTGAACCCTAGTGGGGCACAGGTTGTGGTAGGAGCATAACTATCATTTGCCACTGTAGAAGTAGCGGACTCCTGGGTGAACATGTGCCCCAAGTGGAGTCATTTTTGGAGTTTTGGGTGGACATGTACCCCAAGTGGAGTCATACAGTTCTTGCCAGTTGGTTGGCATATCTCAGAAGGCACAAACCGACTACTATAGCCCCAACATTAGTTCCCATTCCTGATGACCTAGGTTTTCTTGGTAGGGTTACAATGACTTTAACATAATCATTTTGTTCAGGTTCAATTTTTATACCAACTTTGCAATTAATTATGTACAGAAAGGAAAACTTAACACTGGAAAGGACCTGTAGAAGGAACTCCATTTTCCTTTTTGTTTAATTTTTTAAAAGTTATTTATGCATACAAGAACTGGGGTGTAGACCAGAGGTGCGGGGGATGAGAGGATTCACCAGAGACAGAGTGGGGAGCAGAACAGGTGGATCTACTGAAATACACTGCTGAGGGGAGCAACAGGCGAGACAGAAGAGTTTGTGGAGTCTGTTCAGGACATCCTCTCCCCCAACAGTTATGGTCTGAGAAATATACATCATCATAATTCTTTAATAGCAAAAGAAGACCACAGGTGGTTAAAAGTAACAGGATGAAAATAGGGAAGATCATATTAAGAAAAGCTTAAGTCGGTTAAAGAGGGTGTTGAACATAGTAATAGGCACGATTACTAGGAGAACATGGGTATGGAAAAAGAGTACTGAAGAGCCAAAAAATTACCCTTGTTCTGTTGTCTTTCACAAAAGCTGTTCACGTGTGCAGTTAGCATCTTGTCCCACTGTCTTACACAAAAGCTGCTACATTGAGCTTCCAGAGAATTCTAAGAACTCTAATGGACTGGATGTCCAGTACTCAGGAGAAAGTGATGCATGTCTTTTTAGTTGGGAGACGTGAATCCAAGCATCAGCAACTTGGAGTTTTATAGGCCTAGCTATCTGTTAAAAGTTCTTTTTATAGACTCAAGAGCAGTGATTTTTTTCTGATTCTTCCCCAGAAGACTATAAATCTCCAGGTTTCAGATCATGCAGAGCTACTTAGGTGGGTGTTCTGGAATTGTAGCTTATACTTATTGGTGATAAATCTGGAGGTATTAGATGTCCCCCTGCAGAAACTAGTCATGTAAGTTTATAATGGTTCATTCTAAGATTGGAGTGAATCAGAGAAATAACTTATGGGTATCAAGGGAAGTAATTTTTTTACATCATGCTGTGTTAACTTTATTTAAGTATCAAGACCTTTCTATACAACTGTGTCACTGGAAAGTATTCCACCCACTGACTGTTTAACCAGACTAAATATTCCTGGAGTACACTAAGTAAATGGAAAATATCTTGATTAAAGTTTTTCAAGAGAGGGAAACAGACAGCAAAAGAAAAAATAAAGTAAAGGGGCACTACTTCAGACAAATATGAAGGTACATTCGAAAAGGCTAATCTTCAAGAAGATACTTTAAATGGAGAGAAACAGATTTTGACATACACACGCACACACAAAAAGAGTGACATTCCAGCTAATCTTAAAAATAACATAGGCAGGGGCCTCCCCAGTGGCGCAGCGGTTGAGCGCTGGGTGGCGAAGCTGCCCCTCACCCCCACCCCGCAGCCTCTGCAGCGCCGGTTCAATCCCCGGCTGCTCCCCGGCCACCGGAGGCGGGTCGCACATGGCACGCAGACCTCTCCTGCCGCCCGCTGCTCCCCTCAGCAGTGTACTTCGGTCCTTCTGCCTGCTCTGCTCCCCGCTCTGGCTCTGGTGAATTCTCTCACCCTCCCGCGCTTCTGACTGTACCCAGTGCTTGTATAAATAAATAAATAAATCTTAAAAAAAAAAAAGGCAGTTGACAATAGAGCTATATGATTAAAAATTCAGCATTTATTAACCTCCAAAGTACAGAAATAAAATCACACCTATATTAAAATAATCTCTTTTTGACAGACACTCTCCTCATGGGGGTCTCTTCCCTTTTGTTCTGAGGTACCTCTCAAATAAACAATTTAGTTCTTGGGGGCCTCCCTGGTGGCACAAGGGGTTAAGCACTGCACTGTGAAGCAATCCACAGCCTCTGCAGCATGCGTTTGATCCCCGGCCAGCCAGAGAGAAACCCATATGGCGAAGCAGACCTTTCCTGTCTCGCCCGCTGCTCCCCTCAGCAGTGTATTTCAGTCATTCTGCCTGTTCTATTCCCTGCTCTGTCTCTGGTGAGTCCTCTCACCCCTCGCGTCTCTGGCCTGTACCCCAGCTCTTGTATGCATAAATAAATAAATCTTTTTTTTTTTTTTTTTATTTCAAGATACTTTATTTTTAAAACGGGTCACAACACTTGGCATTTGGCCCATTCTGCCAATGCGCAAGCTACAAACGCTTGCTCAGCAGCTGAGGGGCATTCTTAGTAGCATGTGTGAAGTGAATAAAAATCCATATAAAACAAATATTCAAATAGTTTCCATAGGAACACAGATAAGCGTGACCCCATCTCCTAGTCTTCCATATTGTTGCATCTGTGCCAACCCTACTTACAAAGACATTTCAAAACTAGCAGTCGTTAAGTTAAATGGTCCCCCGAATCCCTTAATTCCAGCTAAACTCGCAGGTAAGCGCTACAGAGCATGCCTACACGTTAATACGAGCGGACGCGCAGGCTGCCGGGGGCTGCTTTATCCCGCTCTCCTGGGCGCAGGACACCCGCACCGAGCTGCTCGGGTCCTGCTCCTCCGCCTCCGGGGGGGAGGCCGTGGTTCGGGGTCGGCTGCATCAGTTGCCACTTTGGCGCTGACATCACATAGTAGATCGTGGGCCTCTGGAAGCCGTTGAACGTGGAAGCTGCAGCCACGGTGTACGCACCCATGTTTTCAAAGAGCATCCAATCACCCACGTGCATTTCCGGCAGCTCACAGCGCTCCACGATGCGGTCGAGGCCGTCACAGGTCGGGCCCCATATGCTGGAGGAGTAGTACTTCTCGTCTGGTTTGGGTCTCTTCTGCAGGAGGGGCTTCACGTGCGCATGATCATAAAGGATGCAATTAAACGATCCGTAGACGCCATCATTCACATAATACATAAAGGTCTGTTCACTTGACTCATCTTCATCATCAGAGCCTGTCTGCTCCTTCAACACAAGTTTTTTGGCAATAATGTTAACAGCCAGCGTGAAAGCAGATGCAACATAGTATCTGCCTGGCTCTGCGATGATCCGCACTCCAGAGTCTGCCGGAAAATACTTGTCCAGGGCTGGGTTGATGACACCGGTGATCTCTTCAAATTTAAGCTTTACATCCTCAGATCCAGGAAAGCCGCCCCCAATGTCAAGCAGACACATGTTGAAGCCAACCTCAGCCCCCATGTCAAAGACACAGCGGGCATCTGAGATGGCCTGCACGAAGGTCTCAGGATCCGTGCAGCCGCTTCCCACATGGAAGCTGACACCAATGACGTCAATATTTAGCTCCTTCGCCCGTTCCAGAAGCAGCCTGCTGGTTTTAAGTGTGGCACCAAATTTAACACTGAGGCGACAGATAGCTTTGGAATCATCCGTGGCAATCCGCAAGACCAACTTTGCCTTTGGATGTGCCCTGGCCACTTTCATCAGTTCCACCTCACTGTCAAAGGTCATCATCTGGACTCCGTTATTCGCCGCATACTTAATCTGAGACACTTGTTTACAAGGATTTGCATAGATAATCCTCTCTGGAGGCACCCCGAGACCCTGCACCAACTGTATTTCAGTCTTGCTGGCACAGTCAAATCCGGCCCCGGTGGCAGCGAGGGTTTTCACTACAGTTCTGCTGTCATTGCACTTGACGGCATAGAAAGGGGTGACCCGAGGAAGAGTTTTTAACCATCTCAGATGTTTGTTCAGAATGTCTCCCAAGTCGGCAACATAGAAGGCGTCCTTGTCATCAGAAGAAGAAACTTCATTAATTTTTTGGTCCAGAATGTCCTTGGCAGTAAAGCCTTCATCGAGGAAATGGCAGTCAAACTCTTCATTGCTAAAGCTGTTCATGGTTTCTGGACGTTCCTATGGAAAACTAAGAGATGGAATTTATATTATTGCCAGCTCTTCACAACGGCAATCGTCCAGGCCTTCCAAGCCCTGCTGTGGACACAGGTGCACGCGGGGGCAGCGGTGGAAAAGATCTCAGAGCGCGCGGCCGCCGCGGGCCGGCCCCATGGAGACGCCGCGCCGCCGCGCAGGCCCGTCCGCCGCCCGCCGCCCGCGCCTCGCTCTCCGGGGCCCGCCGGCCGAGTGGCGCGGAGCTGAGGCAGGGGCGCCGGCGGCGGAGGCTGGGCGCTCTGACGCATAAATAAATAAATCTTTAAAAAAAAAAACAAATCTTGTTCTTGCCTAGATTTCCCCAAAATGACTACTGCAATTCCAAATTGCACCAAATGAAACTGTTTTAGAGAAGTAAACATGCAAGTAGTGTCATCGCGAGAAAACATGAAGGAAGTAGGTATCAGGTCACTTTTGGTTGAGAGGTCTGTAAGCAGGGCGCTGTGCAATCCTACCCTGAATCTCTAGGACTTGGCAAAAAGCTAATCATAGTTGATCAGGGACCAGAGGCAACGACCTGCTTCTGGGCAGAAGAAATGAAAGAAAGCAGCTCTCAAGAACACAGACAAAACTCAGAGAGAAGTCCTTATAAAGGCTTGAAATAGTGACCAGAGGCAAAGTTTATCCAAAGGACACTGTTCTGTGGATACTTTCTGAATTCCACAGCCTCTAGGGTTAGTTGTAGCATAGACTTACTGCGCCTTGGTTCATTCTGCTAATAAACTAGACTCTAGCATGCTAACTAGTACGCGACCCTCAGTGGTTGGCACCCCCAACTCTTAAAAGGAGAAGTGGGGTTCACTTACCAAAGACTGAGCAATAATAGACTTATGATGCCCTTAGACATTCAGGATTGCTCACATGTCCTTTCCCTAGACTTTTCCTTTCTAGACAAATAACATTCAAAATGCTAGGTAAGAGGACAGACTGTAGAACAAAACTTTTACACACGGTGGGAAATCAAAAACTTTGTATGACTCGCTATACTGTGATTTTTGTTATTTCAGTGGTCTGGAATAAACCTGAAATATGTCCGGGGTATCTGTACCTTGTAACTAACCCACCCCATACATTTGCCTCCTGCAGGCATTTAAGTTGACTCCCCCTCACTAAGCAGAAAAGGCACCAAGCAGGCCCAGAGACTCTGGTCTAGGATTACCCAGAGAACTGGTGCAGGGTGAAACTAGAACTATGTTTAGTTTTTCCTCCAGCAAAAGTCCCTGCTAGACTTAAGTCCACTGTTAAATCTGTGATGTAGGGCCTCCCTGGTGGCGCAGTGGTTGAGCGCTGGGTTGCGAAGCTGCCCGCAGCCTCTGCAGTGCCGGTTCGATCCCCGGCTGCTCCCCGGCCACTGGAGGAGGGTCCCACATGGCGCGCAGACCTCTCCTGCTGCCCGCTGCTCCCCTCAGCAGTGTACTTCGGTCCTTCTGCCTGCTCTGCTCCCCGCTCTGGCTCTGGTGAATTCTCTCACCCTCCCGCGCTTCTGACTGTACCCAGTGCTTGTATAAATAAACAAACAAATAAATAAATCTTTAAAAAAAATCGGGGGGGGGAAGGATTGGGGTCAAAATAAAGGGGTTGCAATTGTTTGGGGAATATAAAAATAAAATTAAAAAAATAAAAGATCTCTCATCCAAATTAAAAAAAAAAAATCTGTGATGTATCACCTCTCAAAAGGATGCAGCCGGGGGTCGGATGAAAACACTTTCCACCAGTTAACAATGTATTCCTCGGGTAACTAGGATTCTAAGACCTTTGCCCAGCTGCGCCAGTTGGAGACATTCTTTCTGGTCTCCAACTCTTCTAGGGTCTTGCCAGAGGGCCTTTGCACTTGCCTGGAACTCTCCTTCACACCACCAAGGGGTCGCTTCTCGCATTCTGACGGTCTTTACTTCTCACACCCTAGCACTACTACCATCTCCTTTGGGAGACTACCGCCCTTGGCCTTCTTTCTTTATTTTTTAAAAAGATTTATTTAGTTAGGCATACAAGAGCTGGGGTACAGGCCAGAGATGCGGGGGGTGAGAGGACCCACCAGAGACAGAGCGGGGAACAGAACAGGCAGACTGACAAACACACCGCTGAGGGGAGCAGCGGTGAGGCAGGAGAGGTCTGCTGCGCGGTGTGGGTAGCTCCTGGCCGGCCGGGGATCGAACTCGTGTTGCAGAGGCTGCGGGTTGCTTCATAATGTGGTGCCTAGCCCCTTGTGCCACCAGGGGGGCCTTGGCCTTCTTTCAGGCTACAGGACAACGCTCCTGCTCTCTCCTCTGTATGTCAAACGCGGGGCCGGGAAGTGGGAGCCCTTGTCCAAGCCCCTGCCTCCCTGAGCCTCCTCTTTCCCTTCAAGCCCGCGAAGCGCTGAGAGAGCAGAGACCCAACCACCGGACGTGGACGTAGCTGTCCACACCAGAGGGTGGCCGGCGGCCTCCAGGATCACGTCTCCCGGCCAGGCCGGGGACCCAGCCTCCAGGCTCGGGAAGCCCCGGCAGCACGCACGCCCTCGGCGCTCCGGGGACCACCGCGCCTGCTCCGCGCTCCGGGCCTCCGCGCGGCCGGGGGCGGGGCCGGGACGCGCCTGCGCAGTCGCGTGGCCCGGCTTCCGGGCAGGGCGGGCGCGATGGGGCCGAGGGCCGGCATCGCGGAGTAACGGCGTGTGGGCGCGGGGGCGCGGGGCTCGGGTCCCAGGGCGTTTGGGGGCGGCCGGAGGGCGCGGAGAGAGCCTAGGTTCGCCGCCCGCTGACGCCACCGGCCATGTCGGCCGAGGCCTCAGGCCCGGCGGCGGCCGAGTCCCCGGCCCTGGAAGCCCCTAAGCCCTCGGGTCTCGAGCCTGGCCCCGCCACCTACGGTCTCAGACCGCTGACCCCAAACAGCAAGTACGTGAAGCTGAACGTGGGCGGCTCGCTGCACTACACCACGCTGCGCACCCTCACGGGACAGGACACCCTGCTCAAGGCCATGTTCAGCGGCCGCGCGGAGGTGCTCACGGACGCCGGAGGTACGCCCCGACCTGTGCGGTCCTCCATCCTCCAGACCCAGCCTCTGTCTCCCAGTCTCCCGGCCCCCATGCCCTTCTCTCGTCTCACTGTGTCCTGTCACCCGCTTCTCACCTCCTCCAGCCCCCTTAGTCCCATTTCATCTTTCCTGTCTCATTCATAAGCTCCATCCTCCCCCAGTCTCTACTCAGAAAGAACCAGCATGTATGGATGGAGCACCCCCCCCTATCCCCCTGTTCTGCCAGGTGGTAAGTGATTTAACATGGCACCTCAGAAATTTCCTTACCACTCCCACCCGCTCTTCCTTTCTCCCAGCCTTTCAGTCCTCACTCAGCTCAAGAGAATCAACCTGGCTTCCAGGCAGCCTTCATCTGTGTCTTCCAACGGCCCAGCATTTTGTTCGTTTTCTCTACCTCACAACCACTAACAAGAGCCTGGAGGGTTGAAGGATTTTGTCTCTCTGTGTTGCCCTAACACAGATCCCTGGACACTCTAGGAATCCATCTGTAAATGCAGATTATAGAAGGAGAAGGCCACTTTGGATTTGCCAGGACACTAGTATGGAGGGTGGACGTCTCTCTTTGACAGGCAGACCGTAACCTTCTTGAAGTGTTGCATTCAGGTTTGGGCTCCTCACACCCAACTGGAAGCTTAAATAGGGCGGCGGGAGGAGCAAGAGGGCAGGATTCAGAGAGGGTTAACGAGGATTGTGAGTTCAGGAAAATAAATTTTGGCAAGTGAGGCTCAGTCTGCAAATATCTGAAGGTGACTAACTTATTGAGTAGGTATTTGTAAAGTGCCATTTAATGCTAGATACTTTAGTACAGGCATTTGACAAGATTCACTTTATGGAGTTTTTTCTGTGGGGAGGTGGAGAACAATAAACATACAAAAAACAAAAATACATGTAATTGTAGAAAGTAATAATCCTTTGAAGAATATGAAGGTTGAGATGGTAGTGAACTGGAGGATGGGGAGGACATTTTAATTAAATGGGATGGCCAGAATTAATACCGGAAGTTAGAGGTTCATCAATAAGACTAATCTCTCTGCCTGGATATATTAAAAAGGGACCTATGGGATTTGTTTTAAAGGAATTTTCTCGAATGTAGTAGTAGATGTTTGAACGAGGTCCGTATTCAGACTTAATTGTAGCTTTGGAATCCATTTTTTCATAAACGTTTAATAACTCCAGGAACCCCAGCAAAGCCATCCTTCTTCCTGACTCTCCCCACCCCACCAGGCTGGGTGCTGATTGACCGGAGCGGCCGCCATTTTGGTACAATTCTCAACTACCTGCGGGACGGGTCTGTGCCACTGCCTGAGAGTACTAGAGAACTGGGAGAGCTACTGGGTGAAGCACACTACTACCTGGTACAGGGCCTGATTGAGGACTGCCAGCTGGCACTACAGGTGAGGGTCCCTCCCCATCTCTGAGTCACATGTCCCTGAGAGAGCTGCTCAAACAGTTAGATACAGGGACATTAAAAAAAAAAAGGAAAAGAAAGAAGCCTGGAGAGACTGGCTCTGGCCTGCCCCTCAGTTCTACAGAGAATTTAGGGATACTGTACTTGGCATTCCTGCTGCCTCAGGCTGGGACCTTCTGACCCCCTCATGCCAAGACCAATGCAGTGATTAAATGACCACTCTGCTTCTTGCTGTTTCAACCCAACCAATTATATATTACTATCTTGAAATAATTATCGTTAAACATAATCCCATTCTATTCTCTCCCTTACTCAGAAATCCTAAATAACTCTATTGGAAAAACCCCTAAATATAAATTGGAATATAATGGCCTCCATGATCACTTTCTATCCTGAGACTCAGTCCCCCAGGGTTTAAAAAAAAATTTTTTTAAGCAATGATATGTCATGGAAGCAGTCACCAATAATACAGAGTTAGGGATTCTTTCCGTGAATTTCTTTGGGTTCTGGAAAACACAGTCAGGACACAATGGGTTAAGTGGTATGTGTACCACAGCTGACTGAGTGACCTTGAGTGAGTCAATTCCTACCTCTAGCATTTTGTTCTAAGGTTCCAAAAGATAGGGGAATGAGAAAAAGATGTACAATGTAGTGAGTTTTACATAAAGCCTTTTATTCTGTTAGGTTTTTACAATATTAGAATGTCCTTTTTATGATACAGTATTAGTAGAAGATTATGAATTTCTTTTTTGATGCCCTTTATACTAAAAAGGGCAACTGTGGAAAACAACTTTCTGTTATCCTGAGGAATACTTATTGGGTCTTGAAATCCAAAAGTATAGAATTCCTTGGGACAATAACCATATTTTTCAAACTTTTTGACTATATCCCTTAAAGGGAAAATGCATTTCATACTCATATATAACTAATATTAGAATTTTATAAAGTGATACTGTTAGTGAAATATACTTTGATATGTTGTTTTCTTTTTAATGCTGTTTGGGACCAGTTAAACTTAATGACTCATTATAGGGTTACCACTAAAAGTTTGAAAAACATTGAACTAAATCATCTTGGAAATGGTTTCTTATTCAATGGTTTTGTATTTACTCAATGTAACCTCACACCTCACTCTGTGCCAGGAGCAATTCTGTTGCTTGTACCACTGTTTGACAGCAAAATAAATGTGAGGGAAATGGGGATGCTCCAAGGCCAAAGAGCCAGTAAGCAGCAGAGCTCAGATTCAACCCCACTTTGTCTGACTCCCAAGCGTAGTGTTTTGTCTTCCTGTGCCCCAACTGCCTCCTTTCCAGGTTTCCCTCAGACCATTTAATCCCCCCCACTATCAGCTAGAGTTTGCGTGTTTGTTTGGAGGGTTTTGTTTTTAAGATTTAGGTGTGGAGAGTGGAGTTCACTGTACGTCCCAGTGTGTAGTACTTCATCACCACTGGTCTGTGCACATCTTTTTTTCTCCTTCATTCCAATCCCTGCCCACCTCCTTTTCCCCATAGGAAGCCTTTCAGTTCAATGTTCTTATTTTTGTTTTCCGATTCTAATGTTTGGATACAAATGCTTGGATTATATTTGTACCCTTTAAAAGCTAAAGCATTGTCTTATATGCAAATTTAAAACTTCTATAAATGGCATTGAGCTTTGGATTATGTGTTCTGTTTCTTAATTCAACATTTTTTTTCCAAGATCTATTTCATGCTGCTATGTGTACATGTAGTTCTTTGCCTCTGACTACCGCACAGGCGCGTATGGCATGCATTCACCATATTATATTATACATATCCCTCCCACTTCTGTCTCCCCCATGAGCACCCTTGTGCATCTGCAAGCCTTGTAGGTGGGTCCTGGCCCGGGTTTTCCGGTGAGGTAGCTGGGAGTGGAACTGCGGGTCACAGGACATACATACAAACAAATTTGAGCAAGAATATGCTTCTGAGGGCTGCGGCGCTTTATACTTTGATCAGTAGTGCATAAAGATTCTGTTTTCTGTATATTCTCAACAACACATGGCATCATCCAGCATTTTAATTTTGCTAGTGTGATTGGCATAGAGTGGTCGCATCTTAATTTGTACACCTCTGAGACTGAGTATCTTTTCATATGCTCGCTAGCTTTTTTGTTTCCCCTCTTCTGCAAATTGCCTGTTCATATTCTTTATCAATTTTTTGCTGTTTCCTGTCTTGTTGCTTTGCAGGAGAGCCATGTGTAGTTTCCTTCCTAAGGAGAACTAAGCCCTAAGGCATGTATTGTACACAATAAATTAACTTTTCTCCTGTGCATCTAGAATGGTACTGTTTACTAACCATTCTCGGGACAATTGAGAAAATAGCCACTAAAATTATTTGCTGGGTTTTGAATTTTAGATGAGAAATCTCAATTGAAAAAATCTGTTTAAGATAATTTCTAGTCAGTATTAGCTATCAGTAATTAGCTATTAGTAATTTCTCTTAGAATGTCATCTGTCTGTGGCAACTGTTGTTGAATAGAGTTCCTTGATTTTTTATTACAAGTAGCCATTTATTATTTTTAAAGCAGTACATATGTGTTGTAAAAATTTAGAGAACACAGGTAATCAAAAAAATTA